CCTAACCTTCCCAATTCCTCCAAAATCCTCTTTGCATATAATGGAGGATTTTGAAGGATTGATGGTCTTTGAATATCAAAGCACTTGGATTTTGCAAGATTGAGGGCATAACAGGATTTTGCCAATGGAGGATAATGGAGGATCCAGGTTAGCAGGCCCAGACTGAGGCTGGATGAAATTGGAGGATTGAGGCTCTGGTTGGTTTCCCCCCCCCCAAAATAAAATGATTTTGGAGGATTCAGGCTGTTACATGTTATTGCTTTATGCATATATGTACTTAAGCAGGCATCCAACATATACCACTGTTTATTGTACAGCCTCTTTACTCCAACTATTTAGGGCCTTGACATTGCCAATCCACAATATTTACAGGATAGCAATGGATGATTTGCATAAGTCACACAGGCTAATGAACTCATAAGAGCATTGAAACCCGATTATGTGATAACATGCCAGCAAACCCAGCAGAGGATTTTGAAGGATCCAGGCAGAGGCCTCCAGGGACAACAAGTGTATGATTTTGAAGGATTCAGGTGCTTAGAGTTTTGAACTCTTTGCCATCAGGGGATATTGGAGGATTCAGGCTGCTTCTGGGCAAGAGAGCTTAGGGAGTTAGGGTTAACAATTATTTTTTTAATTTTGGTCTTGGCAAACAATGTAATAAAAGTTTTCGAAATGCCTCAGTACAAACAATGCGGCATTGCCATGTTTGCGAGTTTGTTGCTAGCAAGATTTGGAGTGCTTGTGAGTCAGTGCCTCATTGACTTTCAGGGATGCAAGAAAATTGATGGATCGTCTCTCAAATCCTAACAGATTCCTTTCGTTAAATGCACTCTGTTGCATTAAATGCACTCTTTGGTTAAACGCACTCTGTTCAGAGACACTAGGTCTACACAGTGTATTTTATTCAGTTACAATTTTCATTTGCGAAATTAAATCAGCCTTCAATCAATTGAAGTTGTAATCAAAGAGGAAATTTTCTGTAGGGAAAAAAAGCAGCGTATATATTGCAGGCCTTGGAGGCGTTTGCCCACTTCTAAAATATTTATAAAAAAATTGGCAGTTACAAACAGGCGGGGCTGAATTCCACTTCCCTTTCAAAGCCATTAAAAATGTCATGGCAATTGTTGTCAACGCATACGTTTTGTGTGTGATCAAAATGGTGTGTCACATATCTACATGCAAGTAATTTGTAAATTACACTTGTGTATTTTCCGAAAACCAAGTGTGGTCACAATTGTTGTTGAGAGTGTGAAAACCCTGCTCAATCCAGAAATACCTAACAGACACAGCTGAAATGTCTTTACGAATTTGATGCTCATCAAATCCTCCAAAATCTTATTGAAATTGCCAGCAGTCAGATATTGTCAGATACAGTAACCCTAACCCCCTAGGCACTTTTAGAGGAACCATCCTCATTCCTTCAAAATCCCCAATTGCCGCCATGTAAATATCATCCTTTATATCTTGACCTTGTTCAGTGGAGGGGTGACCATTGCCTCAATCCTTCAAAATCCTCCAACAATAACTGTTATGGGTTGAGGCAGTGCCGATGACATTCAGAAGCAGTGCGGATGATATCGAGCATAATGCAGGGCTCAATTATGCATGGCTGAACATAAACAATGCTGGGTACTGCCTACAAACTCGTGACAATGTACCCGGTATCCCCCGAAATCAACCAACACTTTTTGGCTATTCAGCCTCAATCCTCTAAAAGCCTCCAAACTGCCAGGAGGATTTTGGAGGATTGGGGTACATGTAGGTTAGTGTGGGCGTAACAATTACCACTTCTTTTCATGATATTTTGTGTATCACAAACTTAATCATGGCAGCTACCGGGTACTTGTATTCATTCATAAGTTGTTAGCATGCTGTACATTTAGGTGTGGGTTTGGTTTTATGCTTCTGATGTTTACAACTCTGTGCTGTTTCTTTCAAAATGACAAGGTATGTTGTCAACAAAGTCAGATTTTTGGTGCATGAAATGACTTCATCTTAGTTTCTCTGAGTGTTTTCATAGTTAAGTGTTGCTGTTTGGCAGAGTTTTCATATCGCAATTTGTCGCATACCATGATACATACATGTACATACATGTACTTTTAAAATGCCTAAAATAAATGGAAATGCACATGTATGTACACCAAAAATAAAGTGTGAATAAAATACATAAACATTTTATAATGTGTATGTACCAGTACCCGTACATGTATACATGTACGGTACATTAGCTAATTAGAGATGAACATGTGCACCCATACATGTACATACACGTACGAACATGTACCTCACCAGTCAACGATGTCAAGGAACCTTTTATTTTATCACTGTGGATCTTGTTGTAAAGGAAGGAGGATGAAGTCACACCCCTTCCCTGTCTAAACACACCCAAAGAAGATTAGTTTCACAGTCAACATGCAGACAAACCCAGGAAAACAGAGTCTTACATGTATGTGCTTCAAAACAGCATTTGAAAATTAAGACACTCAGGATTCTTCGATAATATTTTGCCCACCTGTGCTGAGTTACATGTACATTTCAATTACTTCCTCTAACTTCAAAAACATATCGTGCTTGCTTTTCAATAGCTAGACTTCAAGAAACGATTAAGTTCAAGGCCAAGGTTGCCTCATTACTCTTGCACAGTTTGCTAATGTAAATACCACGTGCAGAATTCCAAACACTGCATTTCACAGGTATACTGAGTGACTTTGTACATAGTACATGGTTAAACAGTTTAGTTGAAGTTAAGCGAGGCTGTTGATGAATACACATATTTAAACATGAATATCTACAATGTACATGGACTGAATTGTACACGCATGTACATTTGGATTTATGAATTTTAACAACATCCCATTTTGACTGTGAGAAAATCATTGCAGTTGTGTCTAATAACTTACTGAGAACTTACTGAGAACTGCAGTTTACAATGTACCGGTAGGCAGGTACCGGTACTTGCACCCACATGTACCGTTGTACATGTACATGTAGGTGGTTTGACATGTATGCTACATGTATGTACTCTGTGCAAGTACCCCCTCAGTGGTTACAAAGAGAGAGTTCAGAGAGACTCGAACGCATTGCCCCCATTTGCATGGCACTCACGTGAAGATGCTGTGGGCTTGCATTTTCAGATGCTTCAAACAAATGTATGTTTGATGCAGGGTGGGCACGCCGTGTCTCACACACGAGAATCACAAAGTACCATCCACTGTTCATGTACAGAGTCTGTAGGCCTTTTTACAATTTCAACTTACCGGTACTTTACCATGTTGAAATCAACACAGGTCCACCTGGGGTCTGCATCCGAGACAGATCCAACATTGGTTTGCAAGACATACCGGTACCGTTTACACTCGTACTGGTTTGTACGTATGAATGGGTCAGCCATAATTTGTACCTTACACATCGGTTAGTCTAGGGGCTAGCCGTTATTATGGTTTGATGCACGATAACCCGCTACCGCGGTTAACCCGCCGCAGCGAGAGGGCACTATCACGACCAACCAATATCGCCCACAAACCCGTCTAGGGAAATCCGTAAAATCTCCCCTTAAAAAATGGGGGAAACTAGTGCGCATGCGCTAACTCTGCATTTAATTACGGTCTATTTTCAGTCCCAGTTGCACAAAAGTCTTGCTGCATCTTTTATACTACTGGAAGAAATGTAAGAGTTTGGTTCGGAACTACAATGAAATGTTTTGTTTGCGCGCTGCATGTATTAGGCCAAACAGGTGCGTGCGCATTACACAACCGAATACAAAGTTCCCAAGACGTTGTTCCGACAGGTTCATGGGTGATATTGGTATCGCGGCAGTGGGTTATCGCGTATCAAACCATAACAACATCTAGCCTCGGACTAGTATACAATGTACAGACTAGTATACCATGTACAGACTAGTATACAATGTACAGACTAGTATACAATGTAGAGCCTCTCAACCCTGGTCCCGACCAGCACGGGTCAATGCTAGTCCCAACCAGAGAGCATGTTCAGCATATTCTAGTACTGACGTCGGTAGAAATAACTACAGGGTAAAGGATTCTTGGGAAGGGGGTTCGATGGCCCGGGGAGTGGGTGGGGAGGGCGGCCTAAATCAGCTGGTGCTGACCAAGGCTGAAGTTTACCTGTGGACCCGTGTAGAACCATGCTTGATTCTTGCTGGTTGTAAATTAGGTTCCCATAATCTCAGGTTGGACTCGCTACTTTTTGGACAGTATGAAAGGGCCATATACCAGTAGGCCTGGTATTAGATAGTGTCTTAGGGTTGGGAGCCACTTCAATGTGTGTTTGTGTTGTTGTGTGTGAAAGTTCAAGGGTTCTTTTTCAGTCATTTTTCAGTCTGCCTTTTTCAACAACCTCACTTCAAATTCAGGGCACTGTCAAGTGCCACTGCCCTACATGCGCATCCAATTAGCATAGCACACCACTTACAAGTGGAGCTCACTGTATTTTCCTTCAAATTGCATGGCCACTATATTTTAAATAAAGATATCAAATTTGTTCTTCTGACCATGTTTAGGCATATTGACTGTAATTTTTCTTTGAAAATCTGTATTAAAATTGTACAGTACGAGCAATTGCCCCCCTACTTCTCCCCCCAAAAAACCACAATAGTTATCTGTTGGCTTAAGATAGAAGTTGACTGACAATATTTTTTCCTAGTGGTGAAGAGAATTAAAATCACAACATTCTTGATTCTCACCCTTTTGGAACAAGTTCCCAAAACTACTAGAATGTCGCCTTCACATCCCCTGCTTTAATTTAAAGTTCATGTAAGTTAAATTGAGGTGTACATGTACATGAATAGTATAAAATGAGAAATGAAGTGTGTCTTTACTCCAACCACGGTATAATGTACATAGTTTTAAAATCCCCTACCCCTCTCCATCACTCAACAGACCACCCCCAGTCTGACAGGATTATGAAATAAAGTCCTTCTTAACTCATCTTTCTCTTGTCTCTTTCTACTACCCCCCCCCCTTCTCTCTTTATAGTTGGTTGGAGACGCTTTCGGAGTACCCTGAAATCAACAAAGAGAATGAGCGATTGAAGCAGAGACAACTGAAGCTTGCCGCACAACACGCTGCCAGAGAGGTTAGTATTTGGATACTTAGGTGTTATCGAAACCCAGGCTTCATCTCCCAGCTGTGACTTGGGCCACTCTGATTTGGTGTTAAGCCGTGTCCGCATTTGACTTTTTTGGGGTAAAGTTTACCTAGAAGATGGGTACCTTTGCCATTTTAAGTCCGGTGCAATCGGCCAAGAGATTTTTCTTCCGGTTACTTTACTGAGTCAAGTGGTTACTTTTACCAGTCAACTTTTGCCCGGGGAAAGTTCTCGGGATGAAAGTACAGTGCAGATGGTGCAAGTGGGTAAAACTGCAAGGAAAAGTTGTATACATCCAGTGATTGTGTAAAGGTCACACTTCACAGGCACACTGTTGTTTCTTCACACACTGCACTAGAATTTGTGTTCATTTTTTTATGAAAGTCATTGTAGATATTATGTACTTTATTTGACGTGTTAATATACTCTGTAACCAGGTATTATTCACTGATATCAATGAACAACAATCCATAATATACATTACGACAATCAAGGATATAGGACAGCTGATGGCATGGCGTGGTTATGCCCGGATCAGTTCCTTTGCCCACGGTCTCGGTAAAATTTTCCCGAGTCTTAAGTCCAAGTGCAGACACTGGTACGATTTTACCCGTCCAGTTTTTACCATCGTCTCGGTTCAATCTTTAAAAAGATTTCTTCAGGAACATCCACTCCTGTACATCCCGTGAGTCACTTATACATGAGGCCAAATTTAGGAGAACCGGTACGTGTATTCATTTCGTTTGAAGATTAATTTAATATGGCCTTTAAATTGTTCCCACACTTGAGATGAAGCCGAACTGAAATTCAAGCCAGAGGTGGAGTTAAGCCCCGGTTTCAAAAATGTTATTGGGTTAAGATCAAATCCTATTAATGAGTGGCAGAGTGAGAGTAGTCTGATTAGTCTTGTACCCTGGATGAACTCCATGCTATGCAGTGGGAGCACTCCTGTGTTATCAGTCTAATAACATGCGTCAATCTGCTGTCAGTTTTGTGCTTGTTTTCATTACTGTGTGCTCAGCATAATGCTCTGTTATTGCAGTAGCTTGAAGCTTCCGAACGTACAAATTGTGTGACTGTGCAGAATGTACACCAAGTGAAACATTGCCCTGTGAATTGTGCCCTGTTAATCCCCTTTTTAATGAATTGGGTAATTGCATGTTGTACCATATGTATGCAATCGAGTCAGGATCCAATTTTGAGGCACTGCTTACCTTATTCAAGTAATTTTTACTATAATATGCAAATGATGAATGTTTATGACTGCATTGGTAAGAATAATTTCATGAGGTGCTTACCTTATTCAAGTAATTTTTACTATAATATGCAAATGATGAATGTTTATGACTGCATTGGTAAGAATAATTTCATGAGGTGACGGATGGAATGTTCCATTCCATTAGGGGAATGGAACGTTCCATCTGTTACCTCATGAAACTATTCTTTCCATTGCACAAACTGTGAAAAATTCATTATTTGTTTTATACAACACCTGAATAAATCCCTGTCATCAGAGCCATGCTATAGCGCCACCAATAATTACCTTGCAATGGAACTTCTTTTAACCGTCAAATAGAACTTCTACTTTTGCGGTGCGGCCGAGCAGGGCCATTGGTTGGGATGAATAATTATTCAATGACACGTGATCAATGACACACCAATCAGATGACTTTTTTTTTTTCCAGGCGTTTTATAAAGCTAAATATTAAGCACTAACAGAAAGCGTGTCCCACAGTTTTGCAGAGGATTTTGGCCTGTTTGAGAATGCTTACATCCTATTACTAAGGGTTCCGTGTTTATATGTACGTGAAAGAATTACTTTGCTGGCGCTCTAGTACAGAATGGTCATCATAAGCACATATTCTGGTATTAGAAGAGCTTGTTGAATTGGACTCATATCACAGGACTAGTATCACCAAAGTCACACTTATGATGTGAATTAATACATAATCCAGAACAGCGCACCCTATCAAGGTTGTCTCTCAAACCATGGACAGCCTGCATTTGTAGCTGGTCAATTAGGAATGACAGCCAGTTTTGTAGGCTGGTCAATCACAAGTCCTCAGAAGCTATCACAAATCCATCATGAGTGAATCACAAGTCCGCACAAGTCCTCACAAGACCGCAAGACTCACAAGTCCTCACAGTACCGCAAGACCATCACAAGTGAATCACAAGACCATCACAAGTCCCCACAAGACAATCACAAGTCCCCACAAGACCGTCACAAGTGAACCACAAGACCATCACAAGTGAATCACAAGACCATCACAAGTAAATCACAAGACCATCACAAGTGAATCACAAGGGAATGCAGTCACAAGAAAAACATCCAGTCCAAATTCAAGTCACAAGCTATTCAATTGAACTCTGACAAAGGGATTCCTTTGTTACTAATTATGCACCTGCTACTTGCAACCAGACTTCTGAAGTTACTTGTGATTTTCTTGCGACGGGGCTTGTGATTCACTTTGTGCTGTAGTGATGGGCTGTTTCAACACAGCTAGCAGCTCAACCTTGACACTACTGAACTGTGTGAGTACCATTGATGTGCTGGCCATGGCCATTGTTTGGGTCAGTGACATAGCCATGCATGTAGCAGAGTCCATCTGGGTTAATTCAGACGTCAAGACGATTTCCGTCACTGGGGCAGCTGATACAACACATATGCATCTTTTCTTATTATTTTAATTTGATGATTTCATATTTGAAATCAACTACATCCCCTGTATCCTCCCAGTGAAGGACCTGTAATAAATTCCTGTGCCTTGAAAATATACAAAACTGCGGAATAAATTCCTGCACCATTCCTGCACCTTGAAAATATACAAAATTGCTGAAATAAGTTCCTGCACCTTGAAAATGACAAAATTACTGAGAAAAATTCCCTCATCTTAAAAATATGCTAAATAACTAATGTGGCATCTTGTTTGAAATAAACTTTTTTTACATTGGTCAGAAGAAAAGTTAGGTGACTCAAAACAGTTTTTGAATAGATTTTGATTCCATCCCTGAATCATGATTTCATTTGGAAACGACTCCAAATGTTCCTAGCTAAAAGGCAAAAGAAGCCACAGTTTACCTCCATAATATATCACAAACGAACTATAGATGTGAATCGCTAATGCAAGGTATCGGTATATTGAAGGTAAAATCCCTTGCTGTTATTATTCATCAAAAAGTCTGCATTGTAGTGTGGAATAGAATCTCGATGGATTCGCTACTACTGAGATGGAATTCTTCTAAAAATGGGTGCCACAATGCTGATTTCCCTGTTGGAGTTGATACTATTTCTGTAATTAGTTGCCCAAGCCTGGCCAAAAACTTTACTTATCAGTTGTAAAAGCATTGCTAAATATAATCAAAATTACATTGAGCATCTCAGACATAAAGCTCGCAATCAAGGATATAATGTAATGGGCAACAAACATCTGGATTTCGATTAAAATTTTGGACATAATTGGTTGTCTGTCTTCGAAGCGACATAATTGAGAAAACAGCCAGGGACATTCGATGCACTTTATTAACCAAGAATGAATTGCTGGGATTAAAAAACAACATTCATATGGCTGGGCTCAGCATGTGAAGACAATTACTGCCATTAAGGAGTGTGCGTAGCGCATCCAATTGGTTTGTTAACCAAAAAAAAGTGCAGCCCTCGTGGATTAATTTTAAGGCTGTCCATTGTTGTCATGTGAAGTGATCTTTCAAAATTAGATTATTTTATTGATAGAGCATGGAAGTACACAAACACATCTGAGGCAGTGGTGCACAGTATGTGGAAACTTTCAGATGCAGGGTATTTAAATTGTTGCCAAGGTTTTCTCTTATACCTGTAATGTAATGTGAGTTACAAAAAAAAATTGCCAAACCAACCAAACAGTTCACTGAAATCACTCGATACATCTATGGAAGGATTAAGGCTTCACTTCCACTTGGTAAAGACATCAAAGTTAACCTCTGTGTCAATACTTACACAAACTTGCCAATAACTGTTTAAAAACATCTGGCATCTTCAGTTTTCACTTTTCAAAGACACATACATGTACATGTACATGTACATCATGATTATGTACACATACCTACATGCACTGTAACATCACAACACAAATTGTAACTTTGAAAACAAATGCTGAGTGGCAGATTTTAGGTCATTTGATTTAAATTGTATGTTTTTTCCCTCCCTTTAAATCAGATGTACTCAGAGTTACTGTATGTATTTACATGTACATTAATATTGATGTTTCCAACATTTTCAAAAAGTCCATGCAACGCTGGTTTTTGTTGTTGTCTGTGGTGATTATTTTCTGTGTCTTCCATGGTGCAAATCACAGGGAGTCATTTAAAAAGTCCTACAAACACTCCAGCAGTTCATAAGTTTTTTTCTTGGTTTTTTTTTTGAGTTGGAGTCACTAAACTCTGCTGTGAAATAAAAAAAAAATCACATTGAAGCATGAAGTAAAATTGCAAAAAAAAGAAAAGAAAAGGAAGAGACAAGATGCCCTCAAATTGTTTTGATGTGGAATTGCGCCAGGCGTTATCCCATCTGTCGTCGTCAGGCACTCAGTAATCACGTAGCCTACAGAATCTTCCATCCTGCCTGATTAAACGGCAGGATTCCATATCTAGCTGACCTGATTGCAGTCATGTATAGACTGCAGGGCGCTGTCTGCGTCAGGTGCAGAGAGAAGAAGATGAGGATGCGACCATGAACATCAATCAGAACATCTTGAGGAACCCTAACATCTTCACTCAAGCGCAGATTGGCAAATTGAATCCTTTTGAACTGATTTTGATTCCATCCAGGAGTCACGATTCAGTTCCAAACTCCAAATCAACTCCTAATTCCCCCCTTTCCCCGCCAAAAAATATTACTGTGAAAGCCTCCAAAAAATCACATTGTACATTGTAAATGAATTGTAGTGAACTGCTCATGTGAAGTCATTCAGAAATGTTATCCAACCTAAACCATGATTTAAGTACAGGCTCATAAAATTATCTAAAATCAAATTACAATGCAAATGGGCACACTCAGTAAAATTGTGTACTGTCAAGTTGTGCATTCTAAGTAAACCCTCCTATTGCACTCTGCGCAAAGTTGTCCTTTCAGTCAAAATCAAGCAAGTGACTGCTTCAACAGTTATGAATTCCCAGCCTACATAAAGCAAGATTGACTGGCTGTGACTGATTATGTAACTTAATACAGTGCTTGCTTGACATTTGATCTGACTGTTGGTGACAAGCCTATTTTAAAAGTATAGCAGGGGAAGGGGATAGACATTTCGACTGTCTGTGACTGTTTAAATAGTAGGAGGGTTAAAGGATTTCACATTCTGCTTTTGTCCGATCAGTTTCTGTATCTAATTCTTCCCCCAGTATTCTAATCTTTACCCTTCAAGTAGTTGTTTCACTTATCTCAAAACGCACCCCCCCCCAAAAAAAAAACCCCTTAAACTAAACAATTTTTTTTCAAAGACATCAAGGACAACTGAACTGAAGGTTACCACAAGGAAAAAACCTGAAGCTGGAGTGAGATAGATAATCATTTTCCGAAAGCAGTGGTCATGCTGCCTGCACGCAGAGAAGATCAAAGGCTGGAGCCATACTGAGAAGCAATCTGGCTTAGCTTAGGCTCGTCATTAATATTCATTATTCATCTCAGCCAGGTTGGGCTGTCATGTAGGATTGGTTTAATCGGATTCAAGTTAGTGTAAGGGTGCTTTGAATCTTGCCGAGCCAGGAAATAGTGTGAAAAGTATTTGAGTTAACAACCTATGAGATAATTTCGATTTTGGAAAGCTGCATACGGGTTCCGTCACAGTGTACAAGTACTTGCAGTCCTTTGGGGATTCCATCCCTTTAAACTTATTCATAAATACTTGAGACAATTACTTTTACCCATTCCTATTGGTGAAGAGCCCGTCCCGTGGGTGGTTTTAAAACGCCGCTGTGTTCTGCATCACATCCCGCAGAATGCGTCAATTGCATGCCTCGCAATCTCCATATAAGGAGATTTTTAGCCCTGTGTGGGCAAGGAACATACAAAAGACATGGCCAGAGGGTTGCTTCACAAAACATGAAGTAAAATTGTTGAACAAAATTGTAGGAATGTTGTCAAGTTTTGATTTATGTTGGCTTTTTGACCGATTTTTTTGTTACTATTTGTGAATGGGAATAAATATGTGATGGTTTTAAACAAGTATGTTTAAAACCAGCTAGGGGCCTTGCCGCGGATAATGTTCAGCTCGGGCCATTATTGGTGAGCAGGTCCCTAGCCGATTTTAACCATACTTGTTTAAAACCGCCCAAGCACATATTCCATTAAAAATAGTTGTTTATTTAGATTAAACATTCATGCAAGTTTGTGCATAAAAAAATGTACAGAGGCATGTGACCCCTAACATTTTGTTTAACTCAGATTCCATTTTCTTCATTCTTGTTGGATCATTTTACAAGAAAATCCCAGACAAAGATTCAGATTCACAAGGAGAAGTGTTTGGAATGGGGCAGATGAAATTGTCATTTCTTAAAATCCAGTGTTGGAATTTTTTTTCTTAGTAAGCCAAAGTAGAATCGATGAGCATTGAAAGTGTTATAATAAAAAGTTAGTGTCACAAGTATTGTACATGTTTATGTATGCATGCATGTGAATCTGTTTGTGAGTTGTTTGTGTTTATGAAAATAAGGAGTTAATTGGACATTTTAAACAGTGTGCTCAGTTAGTCTTAAGAACAGAAGATCTGAATACAAAGCGGGTGCATTTTTGAACTGTCAAGTGAACCAGATCTGCAAATTTGTTAATCATTGATTGTCTATCGTGCAAAAGCTACTTTGGTTCTCTATCATGCAAAACCTATTAAGAGTATTATTTAATGGATTTGCCTTCTCTCCTTTGTATCCAGGAAAAATATGGAAAGCTGTATGCCACGTCTGATAGCCCACCTCCCAAGACTGAGCCAACTCCCAAGAATGATCTCAACCAGTCCTGGCCCAAGAGCTCAGACAAGGAGGCAGTCTTGAAGGAGTTGGACCAGCCTAAGGTTAACAACTCGCTGAAGCGATCGCAGAGTTCCGTAGATGCCAGGTCCCGGTACTCGGACCAAAGTTCCTCCGTGTCATACTCTCGTAGTACCTCGGTGATGCCTGGACTTGGAGTAGACCAGGAGGATTACGGGTCCCAGCCGCTGACCTCCAAGAGGAAGAATGAGATCCCGTCCAGTCTCTCCTCCAAGTCCATCCGCTCGGATGAGGTGATCCGTTCTGCCCCTCAGGCCAGGCAGCCGCAGGATGGTGAGACCCCAGCCGAAGCACTGAGCACCCGATCATCACGCCTACGGTCTCGCATCCGGGCTTCGGACACGGGCATCTCAGAGCTGTCTAAAAGTGGGGCAGCCTTGGCGCTTGGGATCCAGAAGAGCCGTAGTGATATTGTAGTGGATCGGTCACCTATGCACCACTGCACCAGAACAACAACAATGTCAACTCGGACCTGCCGGGGTTAGGCAGCCGCAGCGACCCACAGCGACGGAGCTGGCGGCTACGCAGCACTCAAGAGCAACCGTTACCTGAACTCCCGTCCCCTCAGGAGAAATCCCCCAGGGAAGTCCTCCCCCCAACCACCGTGCGGCCCGAGGACAGCGGGGCGTATGGCAGGGAGCGCTCCAGCACCAATGAGTCTCAGACATCAACGGTCAGTACAGGAAGCCAGTCAAGTGATGACTTTGAGAGACTGGACAATCCTAAAAAGTCAGGATTACGTGTCAACAAGGTGAATGCTAAAAACAATAGGCCATATAGTTTAGCAAACGAAAGCACAGTAAATACACCATTGGGTTCAAAGCAATTTTATCTTCAATCTCAAAATTGAAGATTGCTAAAAAGTAAGTTTTGAATTATTGCAACATGTAAGCCTCTGTCAATAGTCAAGCATTCACGTCTTTTTGTACCCCCAAACTTATGTCTTATGTTGAGTACCAGTTCAGCGGCTGATTTACCTTAGAAACAGTATGTATTACATTAAACTGACAGTATGCTATGTGTAGGATTTATGCATCACAGGTGTTGCATGAGTCTTGGTAAATGTTTGTAATTTGTTGAAGACAAGAACAGATTTCACTAAAGATTTAAAAAAAAAACATGCAAAAAACATACACCTACGCAGTTTACATGTAGCATGGACTCTGTGCACAAGTACCCCCCCCCCCCTCAAAAAGAGATACAGGTTTATGACAGGCATGGATGCAGAATTATTCTCATAAGAGAGATATTAAAGGCACTGAAATGCCATTGCTACTGATGGGTTTGCACACCTTTCAATAAAATGAACATCAGTCGCGCATACTTCATGTGATATGTGTGCAAACTGTAGCATGCACGCAGTGCATCCAAAACAATGGCACTATCATAAGCCTATTTGAGATATTGTGCGCTGAATAGGAGGGCACTAATTTGCTTGCGGAAAACACAAGATTTTACCCAAACCAGGGCCTACTTCACGGTGCTGCTGAACAGTTAGCAGAAAAATTGTGCTAACCTAAAGCACTATTTCATAGCATGGATGTGTATTGTTACATGTACGTCACTTATTTAAGCAAGTTTTTTGCCTCGGAGGTAAGCATGCCTTTTGTGTGCTTGCTGCTTACTCTCTCCATGAAATAGACGGAGGCTCTGTAAGCAAAAAATTGTGTGCTTAGCAGGGCCATGTAATTGGGTCTAGATAGTGCACTCATATTGTGTCCACCATATCTCATAAAAGGCTAGCGAGTAGACAGTTTCCATGAAATAGACGGAGGCTCTGTAAGCAGAAAATTGTGTGCTTAGCAGGGCCATGTAATTGGGTCTAGATAGTGCACTCATATTGTGTCCACCATATCTCATAAAAGGCTAGCGAGTAGACAGTTTCCATGAAATAGACGGAGGCTCTGTAAGCAGAAAATTGTATGCTTAGCAGGGCCATGTAATTGGGCCTAGACCACAGAATGCCATCAACTATTCATGCACGTTTCAGTCATGCATGTTCCATCACCATGACCAACATTAGTCCAGACAAATGACCTTTTCTGCTGATATTCTGGTTGTTTTTTTCAGGCGATGCTCGATGGAGATTCACCATCACCCAGCAAGAGGACGATAGAACGGCGGAAGCATGCCAACAACAGACGCGGTCGGCACACGGTGACAATAGACAGCAGCATGCACGTCATCCCGTCAAGCGATGAGAGTGAAACAAATAAGGTAAGCGGAAATAAAAAAGTACTTCATTACTCAAGCCATTTTACCCACACTTGCCTCTGTCATACAATCCAGGAGTATAAATGGATACTGGCATTAGCTGGGGAGTAACCTGCGATGGATTGGCATCCCATCCAGGGGGATCAGAAATATTCTCAGTCGTTTTATGCCAAGGAAACCGGAGATATATGATGGCCTGATGGGCCATATTGGCTCGTGACAGACTTTACTTACTCAAATGGGAACCGATCTGAATTATGCATTAATGTGCATGGCCAGACAATGTTGACGACTTCTCTTCATCAAATAAACCACACAGAGGTACTGACTAAGATGCATATTGTTATAACTGAAATATTATAACAAAGAAATTGTCAGGAGCGAGTTTTGACTGGTGCTGTACCAACTGAGCTATCCAGGCCTATGTTAGCAGTCTTTCAAGTAGTCAATGTCTTTGTCGGAATGCACTAGTCAGAAGCTGTTTTTTTGTTGGGGGGAGGGGTTGACATTTTTATGAACTTCATCTCGTTTTCATTGGAAATCACAATCTGGAAACATAATATTTGCCTACATCCAGCATTCTCAAAAATTGCCAGCATCGTTAAAATTAGAATATAATTTTGGTCACATTTTCAGCGATTCCTATTCACGAGTTGAGTGGTATTAAAAATACATGGCATTCAAAAAATGGCGAGTTGAGTGGTATTAAAAATACGTGGCATTCAAAAAATGGCGAGTTGAGTGGTATTAAAAATACGTGGCATTCAAAAAATGGCGCACCAGTTTCTGTCTTGTTTCGTGGAATTTCAGCTCCATACACGGTTACTATGGTCTCCGGAAAAAAAAAACCAATTGGTTCTGGTAGAAAACCACTAACATGCACAGTGTCTGAAAACCAAGGTATTTTAACCAGTTCACGCCGGGATTATTTTGACGAGAACGGAACAAGGCACAGGATTACTTGTCACTCGACCTCAAGCCAGGTGGGTTGAAGCCATCACCCTCAGGCAGCACACTCATATTCCAGCCTCGCTCGCTGTGAGCAGGTCGCTGACAGATACATGTATTTCCGCCTCGCTCCCTGCGTGTTTATCTGTCATCCGCAATACCGCAAAAATTGGCTTGACATTTTGTGACATTTCACCAGTCACCAGTACCTCTACATGGTACAGGTAGTCCACCTTTTTTTCCCCTACTTACTGCATCAGCCACTTTGTGAAAATCCTTTTACTTTGTATTTGTTGAAGTTATCGTTAAACTTCGACCTTGTCCCCAGTTCCTACTTTATTTCCAACCTCATTTCCAATAGTGGGCCCTGGGATGGGAATTCCTTACTCATGCTGTGATTGGACAGTGACACTATGGTACATACATGTATGTTCCATAGTTATTGATATTTACCTGTATTAACAATGCAAACCACCCATACTTACAAATAGGCCAATGTCTCTTTCATTTGTTAATAAAATCCATACGAGTACAATGTATGCAGATTCGATCTCAGTAGTTTCACCACGTATGATAAGGTGGCTTTAACTTTTTTTCATTTCTTATTTTTTTATTTCCTATCAAATTTGACTCACGTGCATGTACGTACAGACAGCAACATGACATGGCCTTGCCATGCATGGATTTTCCAATCAAGCTATTAAATCTAGTACCAAAGAGACTGCTGTGAAATTGATGAATTGTGAATTTTAGTATTACCACCAGACTATGATGTGCACCAGAACACATCACCCACAGGAAGCCTAAATTGGGTACGTATCCAAAATGTTTGGATATGCACCAGGGTGAGAGAGCAGGTAGTGGTGAGAACATACTTCTCGACACCCTAGGAATGAGGTTGCATTAAACACTTGATTGTTAATTGTTCCTAATTACATGTAGTATGCACTGTAAAATAATATTGTGTACATGTATACTGTGTCTACCGGTACATACACCATGCAGTATTGCTGCTGTATACACATGCAATTAGCATCTCCTTTTCAGATGCAATTTAGGGGCTTGGATATATATCACAAGAATAATGGCCCTAGTATGCCAGGCAGGCAGGGTAATTACATCTTTTGTCCCCGTTCTGCATCGTTGCATTGCTTAATATTGCCAGGAGTGACTCCCTAGTCAATGAAATTTGCTATTAATGTTCGACGGATTATGCATGAACCAGTCAGGATATGAAGTGCGGTTGATAATTGGTACATGCATGTACATTGTACGAAAGTGAGCATCATTACTGTAAATGTTTAAAAGAAACGAACATGAGAAAAATGATACAATCAATTAAGCTTTTCTTATCATTGAGGTGCACCTCTACAGTATTTGAAAGGACATGGTGGTGAAACAATGATTTTTCTCACCATCCGGATATTGTTTGAACTTCTTTTTTGCAAAGTCATACATTTCAAAATAATTCAGGCTTAAATAACTAGGCATGGCACGCACTATCATGGACCCACATCAAAGAAAGATCACAAAAGCACAGCAAAACATGTCTGTTTATGCAGTTGCCATGCCAATTGTTGAATGACACAGAGTATCAGAAGATGGAACCTGTTTGATATGTGGCACAAGAGGGCGGTGTTTCCCAGCTCTGTGGTCAGGCTTGCCTGAAGCCTTTTTGTGTGCATGCTAGGCATTCCTATGTTAACTTATTCCTCCATGGTTAACTAGTTTGGTGAGTCCAATGACCTAAAAGTTTATTTTTGTTCTCTAGGAACAGGGACCGTAACTACACAGTTGGCCTAATGATGTTGTAGTCCTAGAGCTTAACACAGAACTTGACAACATTTCAAAATAATGGCAAATGAATGTGTACGAAGTTTACAAATTTTTATTTCGGATGGACATTTAACCCTAACATACTAAAATCCATCAAAATCCATACCCCTATTTTGGAGTATTTTTGAAAGCCTAGCGGTACTGCAGGATTTTGATGGATTCAGGATACCTCCATACTGAGCAGTCACCAACACCAACATTTGTGTGCATGACACAATAGGTGGATTTGGCGGATTCAGGATACTTTCTAGTAAAAGTGCTCAAGGGGTTAGGGTTAATACACGTACCACCTCCACTTGGTATCAGAAGTTGACTAGATATCTACCTGAAGTTGCCTTGAGTTTACTTCACTTTGAAATTTTCAAGACAGATTTTCCACTAACATCCAACTTCTAGTCCAATGGATTCAAACATATGAAGCCTGTTTATTCCAACAAAATCTAATGTCATGTATTGCTCTTTGCTGAAATTAGCAACATTCAAGGGCAACTGTCCATTTTGGGATTTTTTTGGATTCAGCAGGAATTTTTTTAGTGGTTGATATACCGGTATTTTATTTCTTTGGTATACAATGTTTTGTTTTGAAATCTGCTTTTTGTGGACCATTTTCTTGTTACCGGTAAATTCAGGTACTTGTAAGTTTCGAATTAAAACTGAGTTCTCTGTGTTCTTCAACAAATTCAATTTTTTTTTTCTATTGATAAATTTTCAACTTCTATGTTTCATTCTAACTAAAAACCTCCTTTTTTGGGGTGTCCGCAAACGTCTGAAATTGTTTGTTTTGTTTTGGGCAAAAGCAGATCCCTTTTTAGAGCAGACTGGCGCTGGTCCGTACATAATCAATACTGATAATGAGGTGGGAACCAGCCTACCCCGCGAGAATGGAATTATTGTCCGGCAGCCAATAATTCAAAACTGTAAAGTAATAATTCAATAACTAAACACTGCAGATTTTTTGGGGGGTCAGTGTCTCATGCAAAAGTGAATAACTTTTGTGTTGTTAGAAAAATAGCAATTTAGAAAAGGAATCAATTTTTCAGGATGAAACTTAAAAATAGCACGGGGAACGCATCTTTAAAGGGAATATCATTTGCTTTTGCTGTAATTTTCAGAAATGGATGGAATTGGGGGGTTGGAAATATATACATGTAGCAAATATAGTTACACTGACTTTTTTGAGGTTTTGGGTTCGAAAATGCTATAAAAACCAAGAAAAACAATCATTTTCCTGTAGTCTGGCTCCCTGACTCCATATAAGAAGAAACAGAGCAGTTTACATACATTGGGGAATTGTAAGGTCAGGGAACCAGTCTAGCTGGCTTGTACCCTTTCATAGGTGTGTAATCGATTGCAAACAATTGCGATGGTCAATTGGGGCCAGTATTTGAAAAAAAGCCAGTTTTTTCCAATGCTGATCGGCCGACCAGCATGGGAAATTGATACAAAAATACCACTTTTCTTGAAAATGACAGTATACCAGGTGCCATGATTTTACAGGATGCTTTACACTGTCATTCACTAACAGTCCAGCAAGGTATTTCAAAATGATTTGGTAGTTTTATTTTTTGATGTTTGCAAATGTTGTATTTCCCTTTAAAAAGCCAACCAACCGCATGCACCTGGCATTTAGCATGGTACCCAAATCCACTGAATACTAGTGGGTCTGCATGAAAAAAGACCCCCTATTTGCATTCAAGGAATGTCCAGCAATGGATGACATATTTACAAACCCTCCTAAATCGTGGCTCATGAAGCTTATCAGCTGTTGCCTCCTGAAGATTCTGTCCCAGTAGAATCTTGTGGCTGCTTTAAGACATTGATGCTGGGAAAAAAAGAAGGAATCCACCGCCCCTGAGGTTTATACCGTGATCCACCTCTGACCTTCCGATTTCCTCTTGGGGGGCTGAGTCATTTTAGTTACATGTATGCTGAACCCCAGTTCCTCTAGCGTTTACGGATTCCCCTACCGCAATGGAACTATAAGATAGTTTGCAGTTTGTGTGGTGGTTTTGCAGATGGGTCTGTGACCCAGATTAACATAGAGTCTGAAGGTAAGTCATCAGAGTTTGGCTGCGATCTTTGTTGAGTACACTTTACCATCCTGCATGGGAACCATCAACTTCAACTTCTCCTGGCTTGCTGTTTTGCAGTCTCTTGTGTGCTGAGATCCCTGCCAGGTCTTTCAAAGTCAAGTTTGCCGCACCGTCTGGTTACAGTTG